GGTTGGTCGGTACGTGTTTGTAGCGATAGTGGTTCATTAAGGGTGGGGTGGTATGGTACATAAGGTTACGAGAGTCTTGAAAGTACGCATCTATTATAGCTATTCCGGTAGGGTGTAACGAGTTACAATCTAACAAGGCATTATGGAAATGGCTCGTTGAATGGTTTGTTTGCTGTGTTCCAGATGCTCTTTATACTTACTAGGTAGTTTTATGTGCTGGAGAGAGGGGATTCGCGGTTAGTTCTACACTATGGACCACCAGACGTTGAAGAGATGGACATCTTAGCTAAATGAAGCCAATTATTGATTGATTATTGGTACTGTAATTTTAATTCATTATTAGATAGATATACTTAATTTGGTATGAATCGTTATTCCTTCCTAGGTAGCTACCTATATAAAGTCTAGAAGTCATAGAGATGAAATGAAGCGAGGCGAATTCATGAGTGGAGAATGAAGGAGGTTAAGCAGAATGCATATAAAACACATTCATAGACGGAATAGTGTGCCTCTAGTAATCACACTAAATATAGCCGACGTCTAGGGTGGAAAAGGGTGGGATCCAAGGGACTTTTAGTTTCCCATTAGATTCACATCCAGGTGTGAAGTTAATAAAATAAATTACCAATTTCCACTATAATGATGGCATTCAATGAATCGAACAGAGTAGATTAAGGAAACCAGTAGATGCTATTCTCTCCAATTTGAGTTAATTTCTCAATATACATCATGATTCCTTTATAAATAAATCAAATTAATCAAAGATCTTTCTCAAATTCACTGCATCCATACATTCCAAACAACCTCTTCCACATCATTTGGATTCTTTCATCAAGGAATAAGAAGTCGACAACAAACAGTTGCATTAAAAAGGATAATCAGACTATTGAAATAATCCAATACGCAATACCCGATACCGATACCGCCTCACCTCGAACTCGTCAGATAAGACTTTAGACTACATTCTCGTCTCCGGTCCTCGTCACAAGACACCAAGCCAATCTTGTCAAACCAGTCAGTCATTCATTGTCAACCAAGAACCTTCGATTACTTTCTTCTTACGAATACACTACACAGTACAACGAATACAACGAAGTCTCAACTCAAGAAATCCGAATCTCCTTTCAATCTTCCTTACAATCTATAATCTACAATCTAAACAATTCTTCATTTACAATCAATCACTCTTCAACTCTGTATTCTGCATTACTCTCACCGATAACATCAACATCAACATCAAAGCACCATCATCATCATGTCTACTCCTTCAAGCACCACTTCATCGAGATCCTCCTCTCCAGAACTACAATCACAATCAATGCAAATCTTTGTTAAGGTTTTGTCCGGCGACAGTATGTTTTATTCTAAATTCATCCGTTCCCATAGTTTCCAGCTAACTCCGTAATCTAGCTATACCCATAACCGTCCCGGAAGACACAACCATTTCAAACCTCGCTCACCTTCTATCCCTCCGTACATCCTCTCCATCTTCGACATTACGTCTCGTACACGCTGGAAGACATTTACCACCATCATCAACTCTCACCTCGAATAATATCACTCAAGACTCGACAATCCACGTCGCAGGAACACTAAGAGGCGGTATGCCACCCAAGAAGATTAAGTGTAATTATAAAGACTGTGGGGTGGCAGCACAAAGAATAGTAGGACACTGTGGATTCTGTGAGGGAGAATTTTGTGGGAAGCACAGAATGTTGGAGGATCATAAGTGTGTGAAATTAGAAGACGTGAGTTACCCTACTTCCGATGATGTATTGCCCGAGTTTCACTTTGGGGAGTCTGCTCTTCAAGGCGTATTTTGTGGTTCTAGGAAGGAAGAACAGATTCAATGGTGGCAAGTTGGATTAGGAGATGTGCTTTCAGAAATCATGCATAAAGATAAAATTATAAGCTGACTTATTTCATTCTAGTGCAAGAAGGAATGTCATGAACGAAATGCCGCTCAACTAAATGCCGAGCGTACCCAAGTTATCAAGGGCATCTAGAACACTTCATCCTCTTCTGCATTATGCATCCTACTCGAGATTATATAAGGAGACATAAAGGATATACCTGTTCGAGCGTCATTACGATCTTCGAACTCTACTTGAACATTTAGTCCATGTCAGTAGTTTAGGTTCCCAACCTCTTTAATCGCCACTGGTGGTACTACCTCGAGTCGAGACCTCATCCCGCCAGTTACCATTCCACTTCATTTACATCTTCGTTATATTATGGTTTTTAGCGGGCGTAAGGAAATGGTTGTTTTACATCTTCGCTTGCATCTCATCGATTGCATTTTCGTATCCATCTAATTCTCTCTCCTAGTCGTCATTGGGGAGTTTGGATGGTTTTGATGTAATGCGATGGGTGATTGATTTTAGATGTATGGGTGGTAATATAGTTGAGGTTATCTTATCTTTCGTAGGAGAGATAGGGTCGATTTGTTTTATAGTTTTTGAATCAAATTACATATTAGTTTCTCTGTTATTTGATATTTATATGTTTATAGAATGTTCCTATTGTATCGTTATGCCTTCTGAATTGGTATTTCCCGTTTTATCCTTTTTATATATTGCTTGCGCTATTATTAAGCCATTACGTACGTAGTAGATGTAAAGCCACCTATTTTACACCCTTTGATCCGGATCATCCTCATCGACTCTTTCCCAGGTACTAATATATATGTATATAAACCATCCTCTATTAAACCAGGCTGAGCACTACTATTCTACTCTATATAGGGTACTTAATCTCTTTGAGCTCTTTGGATGGTTGGTAGCTACTTTATCTTGTGAAGGTTTATAATTAATTATAGGTTGATTATTTGGGGATATTAATGTGTGTATATTATAATATTGATAAGTATGAGCTGATTGTATTATTATTATTACTATTATTATTATTATTATTATTATTATTATTATTATTATTATTATTATTATTATTATTATTATTATTATTATTATTATTATTATTATTATTATTATTATTATTATTATTATTATTATTATTATTATTATTATTATTATTATTATTATTATTATTATTATTATTATTATTATTATTATTATTATTATTATTATTATTATTATTTGAAATTGCTTTAAGGTTGAGGTTTAGATTATTTTTAATTGTTTGTAATTATTTTGAGATTCAGATTGAGATTGTTTTTAATTATTTGTAATTGTTGAAAGGGGTTGTGTGACCAAAAGGGTGTTTATAGACCAGCAACTGTATTTAACTTAGAATCTACAGGTGAAGAGCACCTGTAGATGGGGATAGCTACTCTATATATACACAAATGAATGGCCTAGCCGCAATGGCTAGGCAAAAAGAAGTCATATTTATCCCTCCAATGATCTTACTTTACTGATAACCATTAATACCTAGTACTTGTCCGGATCTGATCCTCAGGCCACTGTAACGATACTATACTGGAGGCAGCGGCTGCCTAAGGTTTCGTCTGGTTGGTAGTTGTGGGTTAAGGCTTTATCACTGGTCTTCACTTGGAAGTGAAGTCGTTACTAGATCAAGTAGAATGTAGGTAAACTAATTGATAACTAAGTTGAGCACGAAGCTCCTTAACCACGAGACTAAATGAATGTTTATATACCCTATATCATCTTTTGAGGACCCTTGGGACCCTAAGGTCCAAAAGGTCCTCAAGGTCCTCGAGGTCACGTGAATTAATGAATCGTGACAGCCACCTAAATCGTATACTAATCCCAAGTAATCGTATCATGTGTGGACATGGTTAATTGTTACGACAGGTAACAATTAGGTCACAGGATTAGTAATAAGACGTGATGCAAGGACTCGAAGAGCTCGAAGGCTTGGCCTCTCGAGCCCTTCGATCGAGGAGAGCGAAAGGATCGAAGCTCGATCCCCTCGCTCCCTTCGAGCCACGAAGCATGAAGGTCTATATAATCAAGATGGATTTCCTTTGTATAGAGCTTCGTGCTCAAGATCAATCATTTAGTATACTCTACTATTAGTTGCGGATTGCATATCATTATGGTCATTACTTAAGTCCCTGCTTGACGCCTATTTATAAACCACCTCGAGAGCCTAGAGCACTTCCACGTGATCTAGACGGCAAACCTCGTAACATAGTTTAAGATATCAGATGTAGATGAAGAAAACACAGGATACAAAGATTTTGAGCCAGGCATTATATTCGTATACGAAGCGAAGATCAGAAGGGAGCGGAATGGTAAGGTATATAGATCGAGCTGTATGAAATGGCATCTATATCATGCGTTACGAATAGAAGCTGGGTAAATGTGTCGATATGTCGATATACAATATGGAACATGCTTTAAGACACAAAGATTGAATGCTTGGAGATGAATGGGGAATCATTAATTGAGATATTTACATACAAGAAGTAAAAATCTTCTGAACATGAGGACCAATATCAAACCTATCTTAATCAAACTATCCAAAAATTTAAACTCTTCTAAGCCTTCATTGATACTTGCCTCTTAGTCCACCAACTCAAACAATTCCAGCTAAAAGCGCGAGATTTGTCGTCTCTTCCCTATTCTCAAACATAAAATGATCATTTGAGTGTAGTATAGTATGAGGATTCCCAATAACACCGTTTCCGGTACTTCCGATGAATTTCTAGGTGCACCGACCGGTAACTGCGGACAATATATTAGACCGCGGCATTATCGACCATTAATGGGGCATATGCAAAATTTGCAGTCACAATTCCTATAGAGATAGAGTCACTGTTGTCATCCATACCAGTAGTCGGATTAGTAGATGGATGGATATCTTATGAAATGTGGCTAGTAGTAATAGTTGTAGCATTGGGGATAATGGAAATATGGAGGATGAAAAGGAACATGAGGACACCGGGCGTGTCTTTCGCGCATGAAGGAAAATGAAAGGAATCGAGGCTATAGAGATGTAAGATGTATAGAATGGTAGCAGGATGAAGTTGGGAGGTTCGTGGAAATATAAGTCAATGCACTTATATGGAAGAGACAATCATGAGTAGATTTTGCCGCACAAAGACCCATTTCCTGGTTAAAACTTCATGAAAAATCTGTATGGCGGAGTATTATGATATTATAAAGCAATGAGTGATTTGAATGTAACAGAATATCTGAAAGCAGCAGGGAACTACTCAACTTGAGGCAATTCATCTCCTTCACAATGACCGAAATATGACAATAATAACAATCCATCTGTAAGAAAGAGGTATCACCTAGCTCAGTCGACTGCCAAAGCCATACAGACGACATTTTTGATAAGCAATAAATAACCTCAAATATCAAATATATAACAAAAAGAAAACGCAGACAGAACCACAACAACACTACTTTCCAAACACAAAGTCATAATATCATAGGGAGTCTATTAATATACTTCCACTCGGAAAATTTCAGAAAATAAAATCCGAATTACAAGTTCCACACCGAATACTGTCGGTGTCGGTAAACCTCAGAACCAACAGACCGCACATATCTGAAGACTGCTTGACTCCACATACCAAAATATTTCCGGAACTTTTTCCGAAACAATTGATTTGTCAGCCATTCCAAAAGATGTGTAATATGAATCTGAAAGTCTATCGATGTAGTGCTTGTGATGTCCTCTATCTAGTTCACAACAATTCACAGTATCTCAATTGCAGTGTTTGTTAACCGATATTGGTCATGGAAACACTTGTTTCAACTCGAATGGAATATTCGGTGAAAGTGCCGAAATACCAGGGTTTTGAGTGGGACATTGCACCCAAGATTCGTTAAAATAATACCGATGGATAGGAGATTATACCATGTCGCCGAAGGACAGTTCTTGATTTAGGATGGAATTGAGGTCTATCTGTCGCTCGAAAGCCCAAGAGCTATCATCCAAAGTGGTTGATGTCAGAACCTTTAGGCTTTAACAGATCGATCCACAATTATCTCCAGCCACTGAGACCTTGGCATCGGTAGATAATCCCTTCCCTTCCCCTCAAGTCCCATAAAACTAAAAATAAACAAAGCGTCAGCAACCTGCATAAACATTTTCCTCTTCCCTAAACTCCTATAAAGCTTAAAAGGTCAGCAACTTGCATATACTTTTTCAAGCGAAGCTTGAAGTCCTTGAAATCCCCATTATTTGTCTAGATTCCTCTACTCCGTGCTCTCGATTGTGTTCAGAGTTCGCACTAGTACTCAGAACCGGTAGTGATTTATAATAAAACGGGAATTGCCAACAACGCTATCGACATCATTGGCTTCCTTGGCTGGGCTTTCTCTTGCTCAGAGTCTCAGACAATAACATGATCTGTTGCCGCTGGTAGTAAAAAAAAACCTTGACCAGCTTCATGACTCGACTTGTGATTATCTGATTGGTGCTGTTTGCGGATTTAATAGCTTTCGTTTATTTGTCTCTCGATCAAAATATACAGTTTGGGGAAAAGTGGATGCAAGCATACACGCAACATCATACCTTGGCGTAGTGTTCTAGAATATAGCATTGTGTGTATATATCATGTCGAATCCCACGAAGACTCCTGCTTCTGTAGCTACAGACAGAATCCTCTCCCTCACATATCACTTTAAAGACTCTTTAAACTCACCAGACGACTTACAAAAATCGAAAATGGCAAGTTCATATAAATTCCAAGGATGGATGGCATTAGATAAGGAGGCGGCCAAGGGAAGTATGGTATGGCAAGAATTTGAACCGAAGACCTGGACAGAGGATGATGTCGATATTAAAATCGCCTACTGTGGTATCTGTGCGTCTGATATTCATACTTTAAGGTCTGGATGGGTATGTATTCATATGGTGGAAAATGCAGAACGGGACTGACGATTTGTCTATAGGGCCCGTCAAACTATCCGTGCTGTGTAGGACATGAATTGACTGGTACTGCGGTGAAGATCGGAAAGAATGTAAAGCACATCAAGCTCGGCGATCGATGTGGTGTCGGTGCACAATCCGGTGCTTGCCTCAAGCCAGATTGCGAGGAGTGCGCAAGTGGATTAGAGAACCATTGCCCAAGAATTGTTGGAACTTATAACATGGCATACCCCGATGGCTCCAAGTCCTACGGTGGTTATGCAGATTACTGGCGGGGTCCAGCCAATTTCGTTTTCAAGATTCCTGACGAACTTTCTCTTGCCGAGGCTGCTCCTATGCTGTGTGGAGGTATCACAGTATGGTCACCCCTTGTCAACAACGGAGCCGGACCAAACAAACGAGTCGGCATAGTTGGCATCGGAGGTTTGGGTCACTTTGGTCTTCTATGGGCTAAGGGTCTCGGCTGCAAAGAGGTTGTTGCAATTTCGCGAACAAACGGGAAGAAAGCCGATGCAGAGAAGATGGGTGCCACCAGATTTATTGCCACCGAGGAGAAAGATTGGTCCAAGAAGCACGCCAGATCACTTGACTTGATCATTTGCACTGTATCCAGCCCAGACATGCCAATTGATGGATATCTTCAGTTGTTGAGAACCAAAGGTGAATTCATTCAAGTCGGAGCGCCGGAGGATGTTATCCCACCTTTGAATATGTTTTCCTTGATTGTGAAAGGACTCAAGATTGGAGGTAGTGCTATCGGTACACCAAAGGAGATCAATGAGATGCTCGAGTTTGCTGCCAAAAATAAGATCCATCCATTCATTGAGGAGAGACCAATGTCGGAGGCAAACCAAATTATTGTTGACATGGAGGATGGAAAGGCTCGATTCCGCTATGTCTTGGTGAATGAAAAGCATGCAAATGAATTAAAGCAGTAGATAGATATAGAGACCGTTTGGAATTGGAGGTATATGGATAAATGTATATGGAGCAGATAAGGGGTAGCACATAAATGGAGATAGTTGAAATCGATAAGTACTTGCAAAAGTGGCGAAAGATTCCAATCCAAAAGGCATCAGTATAAAACGAAATGTGACATGTTGAGTACATGTTTGGATGACCCATCGCTCAAATCTATGAGCACTCGCAAGTGAAAGGATATCAGTATAAGGTGAATGTGTCATGCTGAATAAATAAATGCTTGTGTAATCCATTGCTAATGATATTTTGTCCAGTAATTCCCTTGATGATGTATCTTTCCCTTGCCTATGTATATCTTCTCTGCTGCTGTGTAAGTTCAAATATCTAGACAAAAATTATCCTTTCACCAACCTATCCCAAACTTTGAGTAAACATCAGTAGCTATAGGGTTATTCGTCTTAAATTTGCAGAACCAACAAAGATATCAAGCACAAGCACAAGCACAAGTATGGGTGCATAATGAGATTTTGCAAATAACAAAGTCTTTGTTGTCAGTCCGTCGACTACAACATAGAGGAAGTCTGTACAAATCCTTAACAATGGAATAACCAAAGGGGTTTCTCCGGTTCCGGATATTAGTTATTCCGCGTTTAACACTAAGTCTCGAAAAGTTAAGCTCATGTACCACACACTTCTGCTTACTGTACATGCATGCTCTGGGCAACAACTTCTTTGAAAGGGTTCATCCAGCAACTAAATATTTCTGTATCTTCATTAATCTTTCCTTGAATCTTGGAACTTGAGACCCGAGCCTCAACATCAACAACACCAATATCATCGTACAGTTATCCAAAATCCCTCCAGCCAGTTGTTGTATGATCTTTATGCCATTGTTTCTTTGTTCTTGAGGTCCTTCTGGTCCTGGGGACGCGCCGATCTTTCGTTCGAGGCGACAGCTCTCAAACTTTGCCTTTGCGACAAAATCAACGACAATTCGGCATCCTATCAACCTTCCAATATCAACTCGATTGACAGACATATAGCGGATCTCGCGTTAATACAATATGGCTGATTACGAAGAAGGATATGAATATGATGACTTTGGAGAGGAGGATGCGGGTATCACGGCGGAGGACTGCTGGACGGTTATTTCTTCTTTTTTCGATGCAAAAGGTCTAGTTTCGCAACAAATCGACTCTTTCGATGAGTTTGTTCAAACAACCATGCAAGAGCTCGTCGAAGAAAATTCACAGCTTACACTTGATCAAAACAACCCACCATCATCGAATGACAATCCTATCGCGCTTCGCAGATACGAAATCAAGTTCGGCACCATTATGCTTTCGCGACCAGCAATGACCGAAGGCGATGGTAGCACACAAGTCATGTTGCCACAAGAAGCCCGTTTACGAAATCTCACGTATTCAAGTCCCCTTTACATAGAAATGACGAAGAGTACTCAAGTCGCCGTAGAACGTCCTGTTCCTCTCAACGAGCTGGATGACGAGCAAGAAGCTGATTTGGCGAACGGCGGAGAACATCCTACACGGTTAGTTTGGGAGTATGAAGATGGCGACCCTGATGGTGCTAAAGGTGGTCCGGCTCCAGAACGAGTTTATGTCGGAAAATTACCTATGATGCTGAAGTCGGAGTATTGTTTCTTGAAGAATTGTGACGAAGACGATCTTTACGGATGGAATGAATGCCCTTATGACCAAGGTGGATACTTTATCATCAACGGGAGTGAGAAGGTTCTCATCGCACAAGAGCGCAGTGCGGCCAACATCGTTCAAGTCTTTAAGAAGCCAGCGAACCAAGCAGTTTCATACTTGGCCGAAATTCGAAGCGCTCTCGAGAAGGGTTCGCGCCTTATCTCCTCGTTACAGATCAAACTATATGACAAGGGTGACAGTGGCCGAGGAGGTTTTGGTAAAACTGTCAAGTCAACTTTACCTTACATCAAGCAAGACATTCCAATAGCCATTGTCTTTCGTGCACTTGGCGTTGTATCAGACGAGGATATCTTGAACCACATCTGCTACGATCGTAATGACACACAAATGCTCGAGATGTTGAAACCATGTATCGAGGAGGCTTTCGTCATCCAAGATCGTGAAGTTGCTCTCGATTTTATTGGAAAACGTGGTAACGGTACGTCTTTGACTCGTGATAAGCGTATTAAATATGCACGTGACATCATGCAGAAGGAGCTGTTGCCTCATATCTCTCAAAAGGAAGGTAGCGAGACCAGGAAAGCCTTCTTCTTGGGTTACATGGTTCACAAACTTCTTCAATGTGCTCTTGGACGTCGGGAGACCGATGATCGAGATCATTTCGGCAAGAAGCGTCTGGATTTAGCTGGACCTTTACTTGCAAAGCTCTTCAGAAATCTGTTCCGCAGATTAACAACAGATGTCTACAGGTACCTGCAACGTTGCGTGGAAAACAACAGAGAGTTCAATTTGACGCTGGGTGTGAAATCCACGACGATCACGAACGGTCTGAAATATTCTTTGGCTACAGGTAACTGGGGTGACCAGAAGAAGGCAGCAAGTTCTACCGCTGGTGTTTCTCAAGTATTGAACAGATATACCTTCGCATCAACACTTTCTCATTTGCGCCGAACCAATACGCCTATCGGACGTGATGGAAAGATCGCCAAACCTAGACAACTGCATAATACTCATTGGGGTCTGGTTTGTCCAGCAGAGACGCCAGAAGGTCAAGCTTGTGGTTTGGTCAAGAATTTAGCTTTGATGTGTTACGTTACAGTTGGTACGCCAAGTGATCCAATCGTTGAGTTCATGATTCAACGAAATATGGAAGTGCTGGAGGAGTATGAACCGCTCCGAGCACCCAATGCAACAAAGGTCTTCGTCAATGGTGTTTGGGTTGGTGTCCATCGAGACCCTGCCCATTTGGTTAAATGTGTACAAGATCTTCGTAGATCACATTTGATTTCTCATGAAGTCTCACTTATTCGAGAAATTCGAGACAGAGAGTTCAAGATTTTCACTGATGCAGGACGAGTGTGCAGACCTCTGTTGGTCATCGACAATGATCCAGACAGCCCCAACAAAGGTAATTTGGTACTGAACAAGGATCACATCCGCCGTTTGGAGGATGATCAATCTCTGCCATCGAACATGGATAAGGATGAGAAAGTACACCATGGTTATTATGGATTCCAAGGTTTGATTAATGATGGTGTGGTTGAATATTTAGACGCCGAGGAAGAGGAGACTGTTATGATTACCATGACACCTGAAGATTTGGATATTTCTCGACAGCTTCAAGCTGGTTATCAAATTCGTCCTGATGACAGCGGTGATTTGAATAAGCGTGTCAAGGCACCTATCAATCCAACTGCGCACGTCTGGACTCATTGTGAAATTCATCCAAGTATGATTCTGGGTATCTGTGCAAGCATCATTCCCTTCCCGGATCATAATCAGGTAAGCTTTAAGTCCAATAATGAATTTATTAATTCTAGGCTAATTCCGTTGCGACAAAGTCTCCCCGTAACTGTTACCAATCTGCTATGGGTAAACAAGCTATGGGAGTTTTCCTCACTAACTTCGATGTCCGCATGGATACCATGGCCAACATTTTGTACTATCCTCAAAAGCCTCTCGCCACTACCCGTTCTATGGAGTTCCTGAAATTCAGAGAATTGCCCGCAGGGCAAAACGCTATTGTAGCCATCATGTGTTACTCGGGTTACAATCAAGAAGATTCCGTTATCATGAATCAAAGTAGTATCGATCGTGGACTGTTTCGAAGTTTGTTCTATCGAGCATACACTGATCAAGAAAAGCGTATCGGTATGAACGTTGTAGAGCAATTCGAGAAGCCATATAGATCCGACACCCTAAAGCTTAAGCAGGGCACCTATGAGAAACTCGATGATGATGGAATTGTCGCACCTGGTGTTCGTGTCACTGGTGCTGATATCATTATTGGAAAGACAGCGCCGATTGCTCCTGATTCCGAAGAGATGGGTCAACGTACAAAAGCTCATGTCAAGCGTGATGCGTCGACACCTCTTCGAAGCACCGAGAGTGGTCTTGTTGATCAAGTACTTCTTACCACCAACGCCGAAGGTCTCCGATTCGTGAAGGTTAGAATGAGAACCACGAAGATTCCTCAAATTGGTGACAAATTTGCTTCCCGTCACGGACAAAAGGGTACCATCGGTATCACATACATGCAACAGGACATGCCGTTCACGAGGGAGGGTGTTGTTCCGGATCTTATTATTAATCCTCACGCTATTCCATCTCGTATGACGATTGCACATTTGATCGAGTGTCAATTGAGTAAGGTTTCTTCTTTGCGTGGACTTGAGGGTGACGCAACACCATTTACCGAGGTCACTGTCGATTCAGTCTCCAAGCTACTCCGTGCACATGGCTACCATTCTCGTGGTTTCGAGATCATGTACCATGGTCATACTGGTCGTAAGATGATGGCACAAGTCTTCCTTGGTCCGACATATTACCAACGTTTGCGCCATATGGTCGATGACAAGATCCATGCCCGTGCCAGAGGTCCTGTACAAATTTTAACAAGACAACCTGTAGAGGGTCGTGCTAGAGATGGTGGTCTTCGTTTCGGAGAGATGGAACGTGATTGTATGATTTCTCATGGTGCAAGTGCTTTCTTGAAGGAGAGATTATTTGAGGTTTCGGATGCTTTCAGAGTTCATATCTGCGACATCTGTGGACTGATGACACCGATTGCGTAAGTTGATGTTTGGAAGTCAAGAATGAAACTATGCTGACTCAATTATAGTAAAATTAATACCGGTTCCTTCGAGTGTCGTCCCTGCAAGAATAAGACTAAGATTTCTCAAATCCACATCCCGTACGCCGCTAAATTGCTTTTCCAAGAGTTGGCAGCAATGAACATCGCCACAAGAATGTTCACCAAGAGATCTGGCATTACAGTGCGCTGATTTTGTATGATCTGATTTACGAAATGGATTTGGGGTAGATTATGATTTTCCTGGTTTTGCGAATCTTTGCATAACGTGGCGTTTGGGAAGGAAAGTGGAAGATTGTGGCCATGCCGTTGAGAAGCGAATATCCAAATCATTTGCATAGGATGAAAAAGTTTAGTCGCGTTTCTCATCAGTAGGAACATTCTGCCAGATATTCTCCATGACTAACACTGAAGATGCACAAAAAAGCGGTATATTGGACACGCATCGTGACTTTCGGTGGTGCTGCTACTTTTTATCATATTGAGATTTTCTCTTTAGCCATAAAGAGTAAGATAATAGCAGGTAGTTGATCTGATGCTCTGCACTGTTGTGTTGATTTCATTTCTTTGTGTAGAGTTTTCCTGTATATTTAATCTCCATACCCTATTATTAGTACAGTACATATAAACCTGAGATGACTTCATTCCATGCTCGGCATTCTACAATCGCTGCACGTATTCCTAACGTCCAAAGGCCTTCTTTTCCATACTCATACATCCCCATCAGGAAGGCATTGAGGTTGTCCTGTACCCAGTTTCATAATATATAATCGCTCCCGCGGCTAATTGTTCCAGTGTTTGTAATTCCTAGGCATAAAATATATACCCATTCCAAGCCGCGGTAGTATGTCACCTTGCAGTCCCATCGCTGACTTTCTGCACCTTCCTATATTCTTCTTCCATCGCCCGCTGCATGTCAAAGTCTAACTGGCGTTCTTTTTTTATGCGCTGTTGTTCCATGTCGCGAATTACGCCTGCATGCATTGCCTGTGTAACATTTAGTATATGTACAGTTTAAATTGAACAGTGAGAAAGGAGAAATTGGGAGGGGTGACATACAGCTTTCTCGGCGTTTTGCGCATAATGTACGAAGACTATGGTGCTGGCTGCGAAAAGAGAAGTGCCGAGGAGGGTTAATTTTGCTGCACGAGACATTGAGTTGCTGTCTACGAAGCTTGGTGTAAGAATTAAAACGCAGTGAAGTTCTCCAAATATTTGATGTGTACTTGTAGTACAAAATAAACACTGGAGGGGTGCAGTGATTTCTCCAATTGGAGAAATAACCTACAATCGATACGATAGGCACAGACGGAAGTTACCGGACAAGGATGGTCACAGTAACACCAGGAGAGCTTGTTGCTTCTGTTGGAGCTATCTAAGCTTCAACCATCCCAAATCCAACGTTAACTCTCCACTTTACTCTTGCGCAACTTTTGATAACGATTCTCAGACACGATTGATATTTGCAACGGAGGATACTTTGAATTAATTCTATTGTTCGTGCAGAGCAGAGTCGTTTTTGAAGATGGTATGTTTAATCCCGTGGTTTAGTTGGGGGATATATGTGTGCATGGGATGGCTTGCATGTTAAGTTGTTGAAGACTTGCTAATTGTGTGGTGATAGTCGGCACAGAATTCGGCGGGTATTCAGACGCTGCTTGATGTATGTTTGGATTCTGGTTGATGGGGAGCAGGATGGAGATACTGATTTAGAGGTTAGGCAGAGAGAGATGCACAGAAGATCGTTCAGAAAGGTGAGTTGGAGCCCTACAGCTAGAGGATTGGCACAGTTGGATCATCTGCTAATAGTTTAACCTACAGCTAGAGAATGTGAGTAGATGTTTACGACAATATAACGTCTGCGGATTGGAACGAGGCTGATATAAAACCAGACCGCACAAAACGTGTAAAGGAAGCAAGAGACGAAGCAAAGAAGGAAATCGAGGCGTATAGAAAGGAAAAGGAAGAGGAGTTCAAGAAGTTTGAGGCAGAGGTATGTTATGCTTGGGAGGATGGGGTTACTCTGGCTGGGAACGAATGGAAGTGCTGATATACCGGATAGCACACGAGCGGTAACAAGAAAGCAGAAGAGGATGCCAATAAGGATGCCGAGAAGAAGTTGGAGGAGATTAAGGAGGCAGGCAAGAAGGGGGAAAGTCAAGTCATATCAGATCTGTTGAAAGCAGTCTTTGATGTTAAGCCTGTTGTACCTGAACGTGTTGAAGGACCAAAATAGGGTACTCAATCCTGAACTTTTGGGGAAGTGATAGAGCAAAGGGAAATTCGGGGAAGAGATACTTTGGTGATGAGGACTCTCAGTATTGCGCCATGATGCGAGTTATATTTGGAGTTACAGCAGTGGTGAAGAGGCAATTGATGATAACCTGTGTATAGACTAGCTTGCGATTCAACAACAAATATATCCTCAGTTTGAAATTAAGGTTCAATTTATATGTTTTAATGTGTCGATGTGCTCCAACTTTGCACCTTTGGACCCTTTAACTAACTATCCTGTGGGTTTCGATATTGATCTGGGGTTCTAATACGACTATTTTTAGCAAATACCCGTTTCACTCCCGGAATCCAATCACATGTTCCCATCTACGTCACTAATGAATTCTACTACCAAAATCTAACCCCGCGAAATTTATCAAGCACCTTCCAACCCAACTTTTCTCACCATGGAAATCAATTTTAGTCAAACTCAATGTACAAAATCCAATTATGACATTTCAGGTCGTTCGTGTAGGGTCAACAAGATGGCTATCCTACAATATACCTCGAAAACGACCTATAATGCTATCCTTCGATATCTCCCGCCCCCGTAAACTTTCTACCCGAACAGCCTCTCAAATACAAATACATAATTCAGCTATCCATACCTCGCAAACGAGTCCTTTGCAAAGTCGTACTTCATTCATTCATGCAGCACGAATTCATACTTCAAATGCTCGACACCATGAGAAGGAAAAGGATCTGAGGAATGCGGATCCGAAGGTTAGTGATATTGGTAGGGCAATTGAGGATGATTTTGCTACGATTAGAGATTGTTATGGTATGTTTCCTCCTATCTTTCACTTATGTAAATTGCGTTAGTAACCCATTCATTTAGCTACACCTAAAAATCCCATCGTCCTTGCCCATGGTCTCTTCGGCTTCGACGAATTCCGCATCGCAGGCAATCTTCTTCCCGCCGTCCAATACTGGCGTGGCATCACCGACGCTCTCCGCGCCAAAGGTATTGAAGTAATAATGACCTCCGTCCCCGCCTCGGGCAGTATCGAAGAGCGCGCCGCTGTATTAGGAGAAGATATTGCCGCGAAAGCTAATGGAAAAAACGTTAATATTATCGCGCATAGCATGGGAGGACTGGATGCACGATTTATGATCTCGAGATTACAGCCGCAAAATGTAGAAGTGTTGAGTTTGACGACGATCGCGACGCCGCATCGTGGAAGCGCGTTTGCGGATTATTGTTTTGAGGAGAGTTGGTGGCATGGGATGATTCCTAGGTTGATTCGCAAATTGAATGAGGTGGGTATTAGTACGGGGGCGTTCATGCAGTTGACGAGGAAATATATGAATGAGGAGTTTAATCCCAAGACGCCGGATGATGAGCGCGTAAGGTACTTTAGTTATGGAGCTACCTGTGATCCGAAGCTGTGGAGTGCGTTTCGGAAGAGTCATGGGATTGTGCGGAAGGTCGAGGGTCCGAATGATGGGTTAGTTAGTGTGGAGAGTAGTCGTTGGGGTACGTATAAGGGGACTTTGGTGGGAGTTAGTCATTTGGATTTGATTAATTGGACGAATAGGGTGAGGTGGATGGTGGGGGAGTTGACGGGGAATACGAGGAAGTTTAATGCAATTGCTTTTTATCTTGATATTGCGGATATGCTGGCGAAGGAGGGGCTTTAGATTGTATTATACGGTTGGAGTTTGGTTAGATGGGATTGGGTGATTGGTTTTCTGAAAGAAAAGTTTGGAATGAGGAATGATTGCATCGTATATGCATTGGGAAGGATAGAAGAAATAGATAGAAAGTCTTTAGGGTAGAAATATAATACTTCATCCCTTCCTGATCTTCCTTTCCGTTCTCCTGTATTCAATCTCTTAAGTTCTGATACATAGTTGTGACGGAAACCCCTGCTTTCCTCCCACCCTTATTATATAAGAAACCTCAAGTACATTAACCATGTCCACACATGATACGATTACTCGGGATTAGTATACGATTTAGGTGGCCTGAGGATCAGATCCAGACAAGTACTAGGTATCAATGGTTATCGGTAAAGTAAGATCATTGGAGGGATAAATATGACTTCTTTTTGCCTAGCCATTACGGCTAGACCATTCATTTATATATTGTAACGATACTGTACTAGAGGCAGCGGCTGCCTAAGGTTTGTCGGCTGGTAGTTGTGGGTTAAGGCTTTATCACTGGTATTCACTTGGAAGTGAAGTCGTTACTAGATCAAGTAGAATGTAGGTAAACTAATTGATAACTAAGTTGAGCACGAAGCTCCTATACTATGAAACTACTCTGACTATATACCTAGGGAAAAGGGAGCCTCTAGGAGCTTTACAAGCTCCCAGGGCTCTATCACGTGATCCTTCTTTGCCTCAGGACACTAATCCTGGGACGATTCGTGACAGTACCTAAGCATATCCGTCCTCTTATATCCACCTCATCCCCCTCTCAATATAAACAGCTCACACATCGCCATTCCTCAAATAATTCCTAAAGACTCCCTTCGATCATGATATTTCTAATCCATCCTCGCTCCTATCTCATGGATTCCAACTTCCCTTCTAAGCTTCTGAGCTCGCTCGCTTACTCAATCCCTTACTCCCTACAAATCGAAACCAGCCCCAGCACCTACAGTTCCCAAACACCAGAATACAAATACAAATACGAGTACAGAACTGAACTGAAGTAACTGTTGCTTTTTTCCAACCGAAGCACCTAGATCAATCATTCTCGATTACATTTGCATATCTATTCGTATACACATGTACATGTACATGTGTATATTTAAAGGCAACTCCTTGGGGAAAAAAGAACCTATAAGACTTAGAGAATGGGAGGGGGAAAAGAGAGAAAGAAATTTGGTGTAGAATTATCACTAAAGCACGGTGAAACAATCACTAATATTCTTTAATTTATTACTCTGTATTAAACGCTGCGCGTGTTTGGTATTAATATCAATATCGATAATGGTGTTTATGTTGGCGTTCGAAAAGTAGTTGTTATATGAGAGACAGTTCCGAAAAGGAGGAATGTCTATTATAGAGCAAATTTTGGAATGGTAGTTACTGTATTGTGTGGCTATTGATGATCTGTATCTTCAAAACGATGATGTTGGAATGGGCGATCAGAGAGAGTGGTTTTGTAGGGGTCGTGGGTGTAGGAGTTAGAGACGGTAGTCTAATTTTTGGTGTGTATGATATATATACGTCCATCATAGTAGTCTTTTCCCTGGGTAAGATCGAAGGATATGTTGCTAAGAGTTGGAGTTATTAATTTCCTTTTCCGTCGTTTTGCTTATGGAGGTAACGAACATATGATCAATCCAAGACCTTGGATATCAATAACATCGCCGTTGGAAGCTATAGCTGCTTTAAAAAATTTTAAAGCGTTTCATACTAGATCACCCCTCCCCCTCAAGCCCAATTCGAATTTCAAAGCCAATAATTAGTGGCAATATCGATGAATATAGCTCTCTTGACAATATTTGCACGCTCATCCATGTATTCAACTTCTGTTGAGGTCTGGGCAGCGGAGACGAGCTGGGGAAGAAGTATCAATTTGTAGAGAGGATAGAGAGCTTCAGGTTAAATATTCACTCCTGAAGTATCGCTGTTGAAGATCTATTCGAAAAGAGTGATTGTAACTTCTGACTTAGTATTGCTTAAGTCGTGAAGAACATGAATCTCCTGCATTTCCCTCTCTTTATGTAAATCGCCTTGCTCATCCAACCTTTGTAGCATTAAACCATTTTCAAATCTATTCCACACCATAGCCAACCGCAAAAATGACAATCCCCACGAAAATCAGCTCACACAGAACTCAAAATCTCTCTCCCTCAAGATTAACCGTGCTGAAAAAATCACTCGATTCCAGAGTGATGAATCTCCATACATCATTTAGGGCAGCAACGACAGACCTCCCTCCAGAAGTTTCATTTAATATTTGAACGCAATATCAAACATGCCAAGCAAATGGAATGGGGATATCTTTGTACTTGCCTAACAGTGATACAGGCAGAGCTTATTTGAAGTTAAGTTTGTAGGATACTTGCTATGGGGGATTTTCATTCATAGGCGGTTGCTCTGAATCTAGGGACCCCGTAAGGTTGATACCAAGGATGCATTGCGATGTTCATCATCTCCTCCTGCAGACAGATACTGATCGGAAGATTTTCTGTTTACACCACATCATCACAGCAATGTAGGTAGGCCAAATGGTCAAATATGAAAGCGACAACCGCAAAGATAGGGTATATATTATAGAAAACCACGTTCCATGGAGTAAACTTTCTACCAGAGAGAGTAATAAAAGCTATACCAATGTGTGTCATTTACTTCCACGAATCTGGAATAAATTATATCGAGGCGAATATAATTTCCCTCACGAAGAATCGTTGGAGGGTCCAGCTGGCACAACTCGGTTGCACAGTAGGTTTTTAAACTTCAAGAAGGTTATAATCTTACCACGTCTATCAACCAGCAGGTAGATTATGAAAGCTTGTAGTATTATTTAACCGACTATTAGATGGACCATCATGTAGCACCCATCATATTGCTGGAGGTTAAAAGATTGTTTGTGGGAAGTGAGATCCGCAAAATGATTCTGGAACAGATATCACAAAGTGCCTGCCAAACTCATAATACGGTCTTCCCGAACTACCAGTAAATTACCTACACCAAATTCCATTCCATCTCGCTATGCAAAAATATGCCATGAGCCTTTTGTGACGATGCCTCCATTGATCTCATTTGGTAAAGAAATTTGTAATTTTTTGACTTCCCTTTTTCTGATCTGAAGATTTCTTCGGACTTCCATAGTTATTGCTCGTAGCACTTCTAGTCTTCCGAGTCGATACCACAGGCGGAGAATCTTTTTGTGGGCTTGCAGACGTACGTATAGATTTTTTGGGGGGCTCCTCGATATGAGCATCGACAAGTTCGCGTTTAATTCCTTGCTTGGTTTCCCTTTCAGGCACAGGTAAAGTTGCATTATCCTCAGAGCCATCGTGATCAATAGTTTTGCGATCTTCTGTGTCTGTAGACTCTTTTTTGATTGGTATATGTTTAGTGTCTTCCTCCTTGACTTTTTGAGGTGCATCTGATGGTTTAGATGATGCTTTTGCATCTTTCTTACCCCCTTTAGCAAAGAAATTGGCAATATTGGATCTGTTCTCCGTGCTTGCCACTGGGACAATGAAATTAGGAGAATCATTGCCCACTTTTCCCACTTCTTTGCTTACTGGATAAATCTCCAAGTCTCCCTCATATGGCTTCAAGAGAGATTGAAGTTCTTTCGACCAAGATGATCTTTTCGGATCAAGCCAAGTACGAAGATCCTCCGAACCATTGTCGAGAATGACTGGCATTCTGTCATGTAGAAAATTCAACTGCTTATTCGAACTCGTTGTGATGATGGTGTAAGTATAGTGTTTCTCATCCGAACCTTCATATTGAACGACATCCCACAGTCCCGCCATACACATTAATTGTCCATCTTTTCCCTTGATGTAATGGGGTACCTTCTCCTTTCCCTTCTTCAACCACTCATAGAATCCCTCTGCAACTACAATACACCTTTTCTTTTGCTTCATCGTATTCCACATTCCCCTATTCTCAATTAAAGAATCATCACGACAGTTAATAGTCTTCATCATGGATCCATAATCAGGATTGCGCTTCGTCCAAAATGGTATCAAACCCCATTTCATACTCTGTAGCTTATATCGAATAGCCTCATTCGCATGCTCTTCTTGCTCAATAGCTTCTGACTCGGTAGCTCTCTCCTCAGTCCCATCAGCACCAGCCTCTTTATGTTGTCTCGGTCCCGCACCCCAATCTGGTACATCCGCCCGATAAACAATACCATCATATCCCGGAGCAAAATTGTAACTTTGTCTTGGTGCGCCAACACCCTCATCGTCCGGCGCTTTCCAGACAGGCATATTCTCATTTTCGAGATATTGGCGAACCTCCGAAGGTCGCTTTATGGTATTAGCAAGTCTTTCTTCGATAGAGTCGTTGATAGCTTACCAGATGTAGTACGTATCTTCCGCACATGCTGATGATGTTACATTGTCGCTATTGAGGTTGAATTGAAGGCTGGGTTTGAGGAGATATGTGACGAGCGGCCGCATTAGCTTCAATGACGTCACGGTTTGGAGCATTATATTTTAATGTGATGACCTTAGCAATAGCTAGGTAGATACATTTCATTCACTCTCATCACAAATCAAAACATAATAATTCACAAAGCAGGAATTGATTACTAATTCTGACTTCCACCTTTGTTCACGAAAATCACACGTAAAACACATCAAAAAAATCCAATTCCCATTCCCTCTTCATAAATCCCTACTCAAAATTCTTTTCATATCAAATCTCCACTGCGCATACCCCCTGCCTCTCTTTTTGGTGACCCAACATCATACACCCATACACACTGCCCTCAAACCCCGAGCCTTTTATGAAAGTGATTAACTGTGTATCTAAATTCATCAATATATACTAGACATGCATCAAGTAAGTATCGAGATCAAGAAAGAAAAGAACTCAGTAACAAAATCAAAATCGAGTCAAGATATAAAAGTAGTAAATGAGTTAAAGGTATCAATCTCTATGATCTACCATCTACATACCAAGGACTCTATCCCAGTAATATCTCCCGAAATATCCTAATTTCATAGCATCCATGCCAATCTATGCATGCATGCATACATGCGATAGATATCAAAGCTCCTCTAAACACCCACGCTCAAGCAATACCAAACCAAAAAAAAAAAAAAAAAAAAAACCAGCCGGTGAGTAAAACGGCCATCTATCAAGCCTCCAAATCTACATCATTTTTCTTCCCACTACCCATACTCTTTACCCTTTCATGTCCACCCTTCCCCGTTTCCCCATCAAAGTCACTTCCTTCCTCTCCAGCATAAGCCATACTCGGATCATCGAGTTCATCTCCGACTTCCATCCAGATATCGCTAGTGGCAGGGACCGGAAAGAATTTACATAGAGTCCAATATACACCTCCTGCAACAATAAATCCGCAGAAGAAATTTAACTTATAGATGTATGTTGCGCCCGCGGGTACTTCTTTTCCAATTGCTCCTACGAATCCGACGATGTTGATGAGGATTCCAGCGATGTAAGCTGCGTAGCCTCTCCAGTGAATACCGAGGCTATAGTAGTATGGAGAGGTTTTCTTAGCGGAATAGAGGTTGCGAACTTGTAGGTAGCCTTTACGTACGGCGTAGTAGTCTGCGACAATGACACCGGCGATGGAGGATAGGAAGACTGAATAAGCGGAGAGGTAGGTCGTGAAATTGTTGGCGCTAGAGAGAAGATTCCAGGGACACATGACTAGGCCTACGATGGCGCAGATGTATCCACCACGACGGATGTTGATGTAGCGTGGAAGAAGAGCTGTCATATCTGTACCTGCAGATACGGAATTGGCTGCGATATTAGTACCGAGCTGGGCAAGAGCAAATGCAGTTGCGATGAAGAATACACCGGCACGATTTCCAGATCTACCTTCATTGAGGAATGATTGAAGGAGTTCGAGAGGATTCCAGATAGCTTCACCGAAGATGACGGTTGAAGACGAGGAAACAATAATACCGATGAAAGATGTAACCGCGAAACCTACGGGGATGGTAATGAGTTGTGACCAGAAAGCATCTCTGGGTTTTCGAGCAAAGCGTGCGAAATCCGGGCTATTCACGATGAGAGTTGCAAAGTTGGCGATGGAAGACATGATTCCTGTAACCATGTACCACGCCATTGTACTTCCATGTGTTGTATTTCCCTGTTTGACGATTGGACCAAGACCCTTTGCGCGAACGATAGCCCAGATGAAAAATGCAATGCCTGCAGCTGGTACCACATATGCCTTGACTGTAAACAAATGACGAATCTTGTGAACCGGGAACCAAATCGCTGGAAGTGAGCAAAGCCAAAAGATGAAGAAGGATATAAAAGCCGCCGTGTTTGTTCCAGAATCAGGAATTCCATTGTGCACTTTGGTGAATGATGGCCAGATGGCAGAGATCATCAATTGAACGCACTCTCCTCCAATCCAAGACTGCACTCCGTACCAAATACAAGCCATGGCTGCACGATTGAAGACAGGCCATAGAGCACCCCAGATACCGAAAGATGATCGAGCGACAACCGGGAAGGAAAGGTGATAAGTGGCACCGATTCTGGCCGTGAGTACAATGAAGCAAGCTGCAATGGAATAACCAATCCATACACAAAGCCATGATTGCCACCAAGATAGACCGCTGGGCGCAACGATCATGCTCGATGATATCATCCAAGTGTTCTAATTGGTCGAAATGTTAGAATCTCACTTCCTGAACCGGGAAAACTTCTTGGAAGCATACTCACAATATTAAAAGAATCCGCGACCCAAAATCCTACAAAATTCCACGCTCCCCATTGTCTACGTTCTGGTTCGACTAGGAATTATGTATCAGTATTTAGTCCTCGCACATAGTATAGACAACTCACCAGGCTTCAAATCATGGTTGTTTAACATGAGTTGAGCATTTGTCAAGCCGGGTTCGCTCTCTACTGCCAATTTATCGGCCCAGTAACCAAGCCTTGTATTTCTAACTTTCTCCATGATGTAGTCGAGAAAGCAGTCGCTCGATTCGTCGGAAGAATGAAATGTAATATCTCTGAAATAAATACTTGAACGACTCGAGGAAGAGGAGGAGGAAGAACGTTTAGAAATGGAAGCGAATGTATTTCTGTGATGCAATGAAGTGTTTTTGTGTGACGTCGTACCGGTTACACTTTCTTGGATCTTCGACGGACCACTGGTAGTAAGTAACGGCGTGAATTCGTCGTCTAGTCTAGTACCGCTAGCGTCCCTGGACTCATCAACTTCATATTTGAAGACGGACATTACCTCTATTATATAGATTGTTGGACAAGACTAGGACCCTGGACGCCGTCTATGTATCTTTTCTGGTTCAAGGATCGTCTAAATCCTTTTACCCCTTCTCTGCAGCTGCATAAGAAAATCCTTGGATCCCTACACAACAATGTGAGAAAGAAGCATAGACACGGCGAACTGATTAACTTTATTAGTCTCTTGTCCCAGTCAAGTGGTTCGAAATCCTTTGCTTGGACTAGCTAGACCATTATCTACTTTCGGTTCTTATCTTTGAGCATTCTCTCACAGACAAATGAATCTACACCAAGCAAGGCAGTGAATCCAAGTAAAAAAAAAACGGCCATTACTCGTAGAAAAACATATTCCACACACATTTCTTTGGTGAGATAGATAGGAGATAGAGATACGCAACGCAACGCAGACTCCACGCTGTAAGATCGAGCCAGGATCATGATCTCATACGGAGTATCATGAAACATTTTCGCGTCTCTTTTTGCTCATGTAATACATTTTCGTGAGAGCTGATGGGCTCCTTCCCCAATCATGCGGGATTATGATATTATGATTCTGATTTAGAAATGATTTTAGTCTTTTGATCATGGACAGACTAATATTGGCGTGCGAATCATTCTCTAGCGAGACCTATCAACAGCTGCATCGTTATCTGACAAACGCCGGGTGGATTCATCGAGACTGTGATAGTTGAGATAGCGTTGATATAAAGATAAGTAATTATAGATAAGGCTGCTATTTTACTCGATGTGATCGAGCAATGAATTGTAAAAATGCGGGGAAGGGGATATGGAGAATTGATGAGATGGGGAATATCCAGACAGAGTATATGCAGACAGGGCTTTGGAAGATTTATCGGTGTGTCCGAAGGTTAATGTGATTTATTTAATGCTGTTGCTGCAGACTGTACATCTCCGGAAAAGAGGTTATATATATCAAGTTTAGGACATCGCCGTCGTCGCGAAGAATTTTCGTAGGAATAAAGACGAACTCGTTGATTGGGTTCTCTTTACTAAAATAGACCATCCTCATTCTATGGGGCAAGAACCATAAGAGAGAGATCCCACACATCTGTGCCGATTTCAAAAAACGTGATCAAAGTCAATCGGCAGGATCACATAGATTGAAACCACCCGATTTGAGTGTTCTTGAGAAACTGGATATAAGGCCCAAAAATTATCCTTATTCCCATTCGATCGATAGGAAAAAGCAATGAAATGTAACGCCTGAACAAGCAATTTATGAGACATGCAACAAAAGTTCATACCGTTTATCACCGCTTTCCAGCAGAATAATTGAAACACGTGCTTTCGCTTGTCATCATCTACCATTTATAACCTTACTGTTGTTCTCATACACATACCGTCTAAGACGGCTCACAAGTTACGCCAAGTATATAACGCAGACATCCTTTGACCATGAGTACTTTACTTCCCATCTCGTATCTCTTTATCACCTTTCCTATCACATCTAAACTTTATCATCGCCATGATTTCCCAGACTAGATTCACCTGTCTTTTAAAATTTGGGTGTGCTTGCGCCCACATTGTTTTAGAGCTCTTGAGCTTTATATCAAAGAGAATCTCTTTAGCTATTTATATCAATTACAATCATGTGATCACATGATACTAGTAAAAATAAAGCTGGTATAAAAAATAGAGAAGATAGAGGACATTAACGCCACGTAAAAAAATCGGAAAAAACCCCCCCAGGAGGATTTTATTCGCAGGCTCTAAAACAAACTTCAAAATCATCACAACATATCACAAGGATCGCGCAAGCATCAGATAACTCGTATAAACAGTCATCATGACTTACTAATCTAGGAAAAGTGACGGGTCGGCTCGTATGCGATGTGCAACAAATTCCCTCTGAAGGAATCATGCCGTCGCTGGATTATCTTTTGCAGAGACTGATCGCGTGGTGAAGGTTCGAGATTTGCGGATGATTATGTTAGATGTGGGTGAGGACAAGATTGGGTTTGTGTCGTTCTTGTTTATGGATGAGTTTGAGTGTTGGAGATAGTGAATATGGACTTCAACATCGGGATCGAGTGGAACCTGATATCGTCTTGCTGGATGTTAGATATTTGTGGTGATACTAGTACTTGGGGTTTTTTATGAGATCCGTGGCTGAAAATATTCGAAAGTTCGAACACAGCAGTTCTACCCTAGTGGCATTGGAACATGAAGGCTCCAAAGTTCCTAAAGCAAGGTACCCGCTCAATATTTCACATATTTGCAGTCTTATTTCATTTGCAATGTCTTTCTTTTTCTTTTCTACAGCATGTGCGTCTATCTCAACACCATGGGATTCTCATATCTGAGGGAGTAGGTACCATTTTATGTTTATAATTAATCCATACTCCATCAAACTTATGTCTTTCTATTTTTATGTCATCTTCACATTCGTGTTTTTCTTGTGAGAATTAAGGACCGATCATTAGAGAATTATCAAAAGTTCTCGTCTTTGCCTATTATTTCCACATCAGCTACCATGTGATTCCAAAAGCCTGTCTTATTTGAAATTTGTAGACTTTAGGAACATTCGGAGTGCCTGGAGTAGAGCCGGCCTGTAGCTGGTGAGGAGAAGAGAATTTTTAAAAGGTAAATAAATCCAAGACAATGAAAAGGAGCAAAGCAGGAAATGGAGTTTTCCCGAGCATGCAAACGTAACAAACTACAATTCAAATCAGATGAATTGAATTTTACCAGCAGAAAAAGGCCTCCAATCATCAGGCAAGACCTCGTTGAGAGAATGTAACACCAATGAACTTTGTTGATCAGCACAAAAATATCGTCATAGCCTTTAACGTCTCTCAATTGATCATATTTGCACATAGTACAGTGTCATTTAGATATTTAGTTCTTCCCCTAAGCTTTCATACTAAATGAAATTTTGGCGGCGCGGCGATCTAGCCGTCGTTCGTATGTCCATATATCCTCAGTAGATTTACGTTAGGATACCCCTGGCACAGCAGCCATTACGTTCCTATACTAGGCTGACGATGTTTTTTTTTCTTATGCTTGTCAAGACTTCGAAAAAAGCTATTATTGTGATTTTTGTAGATACATGGAGGTGGCTTTTTGAAGAGGTGGTTGTGGGTATTTGAAAGTTTCCTCTTTTGGGTATGTTGCCGTCATCCGATTCTTTCAGCGGAGGTTGGAGAATAGAGATCTTAATTCATTCTCGATGGAGCAAAAGGGTTTTAATTACTTGTATACTGGCAGTTGCTGGATTGCACATTACTTTGCCATTGCTTATGTGTCTCACATTTCGACCATTGAATATTCATACAGCTTGAAAAGGTTTATTCCTTCATCTTAGAATGTGCAGATGTGTGTTAAACTTTAATGCCGATCTTTTTTTTTGCATACTCCTCTCATATACTGTTACCTATGTACAACCAGTTTAATATATACAGACTCATTCCCTTATGTACAGAGCCTTATCAAGCTATTTACATCCCCATCAACCAACACCAACTAATTCGATCGAGTAAGACAAGCCGCAACAAGTGGTTGATCTGTCATAGATGATCCACTTCCATTGGGTGTCTCCGTTAATGCTATCGTCAATATCAGTACATATTCCTATCACATATGTTCTCATCACAATTTTGGGACGAGTTTCAACTCCACTTACTGTAATTCGTATCGAAGCTTCCAGCAGCCCACCCAACATATCCCAAGTACACATCGGAATTGGCACTGTGTAGAAACATCGTTAGCGTTTTATTATTCCAATCTTTCAAAGACAAAAGAAACTTAGAAAACATACTTCAAATAAGCAACTTCCTGGCACAAATATGTCTCACAACTAGCGACGTTACCACCACCGGTCTCGGTTAGTATGGCTTGTCTTCCATTTGCTCGTAACCAAGTTGCTAGTGGTGCGAATGCGGTGTCGATGTTATTGGTCACGCATTCAAGATTGGTTCCTGAGTTATCGGAGTCGAGATATTTGTGGACGTCGAAGATTAGGTTTGTGATTGTGCCGTCTGGGTTGGTGACTTTGGAGAGGGCGGCTGCTGAGCCGTCGGATATGAAAGATCCTGCGGAGGTGTACTAGTGGGGGCTAAGTTAGTGGTGTGATGTGGGAGGGGTGTGAAACGGGATTTAAGGTATATTGAAATTTCGGATTTCGGTTTAGAAAAGATTAGGAAGGAGACAGGTGAGGTTAAATGGGGAATCCATGAACTAATGATACTTACATCATTACCAGGTAGGAGAAGCGTGGTAGATGTAGCACCTGCTTGGCGAATAGCAGTAACCACTGCCTGAACTGAGGCTGCCCATGTGGTAATATTTGGCATATCTAACAGATTTTGTTAGTAACATCGCACAAATCCAACATCACTGTCCTTCAAATTTCATCACTACACTCCACTCCCACCACCAAAACAGAAAATGGAAATACACACCATGAGGTTCATTCATCAAACCAAAAATCACCTTCGCATTCCCCTTATACTTATTCGCCAACTGAGTCCACAAACTCACAAACTGCGCATTGGTTGGGCCACCCTGTCCAATAATCCCGCCATTCCATCGCGCATAATTGTGAATATCAATGATGCAACTAGCACCTGTTGCCAGACATCCCTGCACCAATGAATCATAGGTTGCGAAATTGTTACTGTCGAGTGTACCCCCCAGAACATTGTTCACGAGGTATTGCCATCCCACAGGGAGACGGAAGATATTGTGTCCTGTGCTTTTGACAAAGTGGGACATTTGGCCGAGACCATCTGGATGGTTGGCTATGCTGCTTAGAGGCTGTGGTGGAGAGGGTTAGTGGGTGTGTTTAAGGTGCAGGGGAGGGAGAAATGTGGGTGTGGGTGCGCACCGGGTAGATCTCGCTGGTTATACATGTGCCGTCTGTTGTGCAGCCGAAGTCGAATCCTGCAATGTTGGTTCCAACTAAAGTATGTTAGTCGGATTGCTTATTTGGGCCGTTTCAGAAAGAAAAGAGTAACTGTATGAACATACTATATTTCGTTTTTCCAGTTGAGCTTGAAGCTGCGGATGAACTAGTCTTGGTACTAGAGCTTGATGGTTTACTCGAACTCGTAACTGTGGTTAGAGTCGCTATATTCTCACTTGTTAGACTTCTTCCTTTTTTTTGATTTATTCACCACTTTTCCACCCGTTAAGTGTCAACTTTGAGTAATGGAAGACTAACCAGTTCCAGGTAAACATTGCGAGTAATATTCACTCGAATAAGTACACACATAACCTCCAACACAAGTTGTTGCTCCCGTCCATCCTTTCCCTCCACATTGTGCATAGGCAGCGCCTTGTGCTGTGGCGCTGGATACGAGCGGAAGGATAGTGTATAGAGGAGTTGGAACCTTCATATTGAGGAACTTTTAGTAAAGGCTGGCAAAGGGAAGCAGTAGTAAATGAAGAAGATGAAGATGAGGAGAGATACTGTAAGTAAGATGGTAACGGGAGGATATATATATAAAGTCCAAGTTGACCTCAATTCTATAAATGGGATCTACTGGTTATATGTCATAAATATATACTCCGTGTATATATACCCCAATCTAATCATACGATCAAATACTGTACCGTGCCCCTTTTCTCCTCTTATTCACCTCTCAATATCAACCCACCTTACCCTACCCTACTCCATAAACTCCAAGCGCCAAACCCACTCCCGAAACTCCCATATTCCCTATCCCCCATCTTGCATTCCCTATCCATCTCCACCCCATCCATCTCCCACCCTATCCTATTCATCCCATCATCTCACACCGCCCACCGACCACCCACCCACAGCCATCCAACCCACGGACCGAAACCCCCGACCAGCAAACTTCCCATCCCAAGGGCCAAAACTCTACACATGCCCCCTAAATGCTAAAAGCTAAATTCCCTGGAAATCTTAGTTTAGTTCATTAGTAGTTCCTTAGTTCACTACACTATTAATCTGTTTCTTGCAGCGTATATATGAAAAATTAAATTGGTCAGTCAGCATAAGTCGTAGGATGAACAACTCGTGATGTTGTTTGCGGAAAAAAGGGGATGCGGTTCCGAGGCGGGATTGCGGGAAATGTATGGTTACCTAGGTAGTGATTTATGATTTATTTTTTTGTGGAGAAGAATGCATTTGCCTATTGTGGTATGGATTGGGATTGGGATTGGTTGGAGTTGATTAGTGGGAGGGGAATGTTGTGGTGGGACTTTATATTTGTGTTTTACTCTACTCTGTATTGTACTCTGTGCCGGTAGGTATATGATGTGGTGTGATGTGGTGTGATGAGATGAGATGAGATGATTTAGAGATGACTTCTTACAGAGTACAATTATAAGGAGTACACCAAGAAAAAACACGCCGAGAATAAAGTAAGCTTTACATAACCTACCATCCAAAGCACCCCGGAAAAATCTTAATCTCAAACCATATACTCCACTCCACTCCATAGACCTACTCGGGTATTCTACCCCACAGCCCGAAACCATACACCTCCGAAACTCTATGCACACACAGAAGATGCTAAGTCTGAACCTTACCTAATAATTAAACTTCAAAGAGATTCTGAAGAATAACAAATAACAAACGTCCCATCCTACCAGCACACACAGCACGTACCAATACAACAAACACCATATACCTAAAGCAATACTCGCTCCCCCAGCCTATAGGATAGAAGAAACAACTTCTTCCGTATGTACTCCGTACCGAGAAACATTTCTTCACTTGCCACATGTTAATTAATTTTCATCTAAAGAATGTGTCTGGTTAAATAGTATCCTTGTTTCTGCCGAAATGACCATATACTACTATAGGCAAGTGGGTAAGATGTAACTTACCCCAGATTTTCGGCTGTGGCATTTTGATTACTATTCTTTAGTGCATACTCCGTATACGGAATAGTATAATATCCCATTATTGCTGGATCCTTTGGATGTATGTATGTATCCCTGATATCCCTAATAGTAATTCTCATGGGTGTATATATTATAAGACTAAAACCCCAGACAAAGACTCTGCTTTTCAATCTAGATTCTCTTAGATCCTAATTTTTAGTCTCTAATTGATACTCCCATGTATATAATCTTACATCCATACATACCCTACACTCTAGATCTATACCCTATCCTATCCTCCATCTAAACACCACACTTCCATCCTCCAATCCTTCAACCCCTCAAAACTTCCCCGTACGGAATACTTACCTAGTGTACCGTTAGAACTACACACAGCACTAGTATCACCAGGCCCTTAATATTAAAGCAGGCACTAATTACTCCGTATATACAGAGTAGTGCCTAGATATGAAATTAAACAGCGGCTTGACTTTTTAATTTCTCTTCCCTTTTTCATTTCTAGATCTAGATCTGGATCGATCTATATTAAAACTCGAAGTTTCGAGAAAGAACCGAGGAGTAGGTTTTGGGCACAGTTTGTGTTTGTTGGTTAGCTTTAGCTTTGGGTTAATGGTATGGTTATTTGATGATATGATGGATGATAATAGACGGATTAGATAGGTAGATGGAGTTTAGAGGAAATAAAGATGCAAGGTTTTACAATAAGCTGAGGAAACTGGTAAATCGTATGGCAATCTGTGGGGTGCTGATTATTTGTTTAGGTTTGGTATTTTATCCATTTATCTACGATGGTAAGGTTATATATAAGTGTGTTGTTTATGAAGATGCTAATTATATGATACTACTCTATCTTACAAGACTTACTATTATATAAAAAGATGAATTAGTTGCAAATGATTGATCTGAAATATATCCATCAGACTAAGAACAATTAACTTTTACTCTTGTGAAAGTTGAAGATATTTCATGTGTGTATTGTGAAATAGTCTAAAGCCAAGAGAGATTCATTTTCACATAATATTACATGCAAGAATTCACAAAGATGATTAAAAGTATCAATAAATCACACCAAAGATATTGTCGGGCGTAAAAATTTGTATTTCATATATACAGATGAAGAGAAGATAGAACTTTATGTACAAATTTAAAAAGGTAGAAAAAATGATATAACGATTGACCATACAGTAAAGACTGTCTCATATCCTCATGCTACGTTGCGTTAAAAGAATGTATGCATCAGCGACTCAATTCCCTCATCCAATTTCCTCAATTTAAAAGCTAGGATTAGCATTTGTAAGTAATTGGGCAAAGTAAGCTTGGAACCAGGTACCAGCTTCCGGAGCCGGTTGAAGGGCATCTGAGAGACCGCAGTGGAAATCGTATCGAGCTGCTGTTGTATTTGAAGTACCCTTTTGTGAAGTTAGTAGATGAAAGATTGGAGTATGGAGAGGGAGAACAAACATCGGCTTCTCCACCAGGTTTGACCCAGACAAAGGCATCTTCCAAAGCATCTCCGGTGTTGGTGGTAGGTCGAACACCGAATCCGGTTCCGATGACATTACACCAGTCTCCCCATGCTTGTTGAGCGGTTGGTTGAACTCCATTGCGACCTATTTCTACCGTTAATCTCATCCTCAAGAAAGCTTATATAACATTTAACTTACCAGTATCCATGATGAAATGAGCTGGGAAACCTTGTGCGGTCAAGAGTGGAGCGAGAGCATTGATGTACAATTTCTCGTTACAGTTAGAGTCACCGGAGGTATAAGATGGGCAACTGCTGCTAGTCCAAGCATTGTAGTTTGCGACATTGGTTGCGAGACCTCTGACTTGAGATGGGCTTCCTGCTGCTTTGTAGACTTGACCAAAGAGTTGTGCAGCTGGACCAATGTTTGCGGACCATCCTAACCAACCAGCATGTCCAGCATCCAAGTACATGGAGACGTTTGGTAGATCAACTTTGAGATGGCATATTCGGTACATTCTAGGTAAGCTGCTTGTGCATTGGAACATTTTTGAACATTTAGGTTGGTAACGAGATTTGCCAACGACTCCGGCTCTATTAAATCGTCAATCGCCAATCTTCTTCACTTAGAGATGAAGAGTTTACTTACCGATGATTAGAATAACGCTAGTGTCAGAATAGTTCTTGAGGATAGTAACAATCGAATCGATATAAGCTTTGTAGTTCGCTACACCATTGTTTGCAATGCTATATTCTCCATTGGAAGCAGCTGCTGCACAATCTCTGTCAGGTAAATCGTAGACCACGAAAGTACCAGCAACTGGTGGGTTTGCTCCTGCCTTATTTAAGGCTCGAATATTGGAAAGGTAGGTTCCCATTGTTGGAACTTTATCAGCGGTATCACTAAGCTTATCAGCTTTCACATTCATCATCTGATTAAAGGGAATAACTTACAGCCAGAAAAAGGTTGGAACTTTTGCTACCGCGGCGGCTTTAGTGGCCATGGCTCCAGTGAGTGAAGGAATGGCACTTGCGGAAATCTCAGAAGCATAGTATGGGTTTACGTAAAGTGCTTTGCCTACAAATGGGTTGCCTGCGGCTGGTGCTGCTGTCGTCGTTGCACTGCTGCCTGTAGTAGTGGAAGCTTTCGTGGATGTGACGATTGTTGTAGGAGCGGTAGTTGTTGGGCGGGAACTAGATGCACCACCACCCGAACCAGGTAGACATTGAGAATAGTACTCGTTGGTATAAGTACAGGTGAATCCAGAAACACAAGTTGTTGCGCCACTCCAGCCTTGACCGCCACCTAAATTCTATGTTAACGATAGTTCCATACCAACTAGAGCATGATGGCTTACATTGTGAATAACCAGCGCCCTGAGCATACACAGTAGGTGCTACTGCAGCAGCAGCGAGAAGAACATTCTTGAGACCCATTTTGAAAGATAATGGAAGAAGTAAAGATTGCGTGTGGTTAGATGCTCAAAATTCTGAAGAAACGAACGATCTTTTATATCATTCTAACTGGGGCTTGACTCGTAATCCTGGCCATATCCATTTGGGCAGACCTACAAACACCCATATTCTCTATATGCAAATCCCCTCCTCAATATGAGACGGAAGTCCGGCGCCGACTTGCCAGTATAGTTTGTATAGCCTGAGTAGACAACAAAAAGTTTCACGGGTAGATCGTGGAGAACATTACTATAATTAATCCTTGACAGGAACCCATAAGATCTCATTGGATAAAATAAATGTATTAAGAGTGTTCCTCCTATAGCAATGAATTAATGTAGCATTGGGGATCCAATCATGTTAATTTACGGAAACTGACTCAAACCCAATTTTAAATTAAAGATATTACCTTTGCCAGGTACGTGAGAGACTTAAGGAGCAACGGCCCGTTGTAGAGTCTCTCACATCATGTGCTATGTGGGACTGCTGCCACTTGCCGTATGATCTGTACGGAGTAGTATATCGCCTGTCATCTTGAGGGAAAGTGGATTTGTGGGGTTGAAGGTAATTACGGAGTATTAACCTTATTGCATTGCAGAGTGGATAGCAAGAACGTGATTATTCGTCATGTGTTATGTATGGAGTAAACAAGGAAGATTTCAATCAACTTGCGACATGAAGGAACAACCGGCAATAGCTAAACGCCAGTTCAATCAGAGCACTCGAGTAGAAAGAGAAAAGAATGAGGATCTGTAAGTTACGTTGGCACTTCCAAGTCTCCTAGATAATGTGCAACAATATAATTGAGCCTCCTGAAATTACACAAATATCTTCAAGAACCCCTAAGCATAAACTTAAGGCTAATATGAAAATGCGGAGAGAATCTGGGGATGAAAATCGTGGAGAAAGGTATACTGCGTACGTGCAGCGTTTGCAAATTTAGCCTATGTTTGGCAGGATTAAGGTTACAGCTAGCCGCAGCTACCAATTAGGTCATTTGCCATCAACTAACTTCATCTGTGGAAGTTTTCTCCTTGTCGCCGAGTTCCCAAGTATAACATAATAATTAATGGCTCGACTTGTTCGAATGTGCGCGATTAAATTGATTGCTGGCCGAAGTCGAGACCTTGGCTTGAATAGATCGGCATTCTTTTCTAAGCTTCGGCCCGACGGCATAGAATCTCAAGTAGCAATATGTAAGGTTATGGAGTTCTACAGTCAAGTTCTTCGTGCGGTCTGTATGGGAATTTTGGGTAGCGGTAAGATTCAGTCAGGAGCCGGTGGAATTGTTAGGCTCTGCTATAGATCTCAAGTGAGGTCTTTTTAAGTATTCGTAAAGTTAAGCCAAAAAGTGTTTAGCGAGAAGTCTACTTCACATTTACAAACACGCCTTTATATAACAAACAGAAAGTCGATAATCATGTTGAATCTCTTACCCTATTTCCAAGAACCAAACATAGATCTGGACTTGACTCGACCCCTTAGGTACCTTGCAGATTGGGTGCCAAGGGTCTTTACATGGCATAATGGTAAGTACCCCGCCGGACTGACCGGAAAGTGTTTCCGAGTTTAACTTTACGTTTGAGTCCTTTCTTGTCTAATTGTCGGTTGAAAATACGTAGTTGGTAGAGATGATATAGGGAAAGCCATGAGTAGTTTGAGGTACCATACAAGTGTGTAGTGTTGCTGTCATTGCTTCAATTCTATTTGTAGCAAAATTGAAATGGAATGCGTTAGAAGAGGAGTATTACAATTTCGGGAAATTGGACGAGGAATTAAGATGTCGGAAGGAGAGTTAGGGAAGCATAGAAGGATGATTTGTTTCTCTTATTTACTCAAATGAGGATTGAGTGAGGCTATAGGAGTTGAACAGCAAATACCTCAATAGAAGGGAATGCAACGGGGCAGGAATGAACAATAAGCATTAACCTAAGGGATATCATTTCCATCCCATCCACGTCCAATCAGTCAGGGAAAACATCTTTATGCTAATACTACTAAAATAAGACAAATATAGTAAAATTCCTTGACCCAACACCTCGCTACCATATCAGATAAAAGATATTCACGCATCCTACAGACCTTACCAACCACATTGTCCTTTCATCACTTAGATTTGCAATTCAAAAGCGTTTCCATACGTTTATTATTCAATTCATTTCATAGTATCCAATTCCTACCTACTCAATGGTCCACAATCTCCTAAACCCAAGATCAACAAGATCCATAATATCCAACTTCAACTTCAGCTCTAGTTCCAGCTTCAGCGATAGACCGGACCATATAAATATGCAGCTACTCAATACTTTTAAAACAGATATACGAGCTAGAAAAGTCTTCAGGTTCTTTAGATTAATAATTAACTAATGAATTCTCTCATCTAATCTAGCTATCTATATCTGCTTTTCTCTTCTATTCCGTCCTTCACCACCACCACTTCTTCTTCCATCCCCGATCCCACTGCCTCCCTA